GAAACCCCAACAACAATTTTTCTGCTGCAGCGCAATATTTTTTCGTTGTTGTTGTTATCTTATGCCATAAATTCATAACAGAGTACACATTAATTCAAATCTCGACCATCGACAGTTCATTTGATAGCCTGAGGCCATTGACGCTGATTATTATGATTATTGTTATTGCGCGTCATGAACACACACAACCTTACACTAGTATATGTATATCACATAAATGTTGCAGCCGACCAAAAGCTCGGTTGCTCAAGCACGTGGGTTGGGACAATGAGGCGGAAGGTGCGAGTACACATATATACTGATATATTCGTAAGTCACCAGCAATGTGGTAGCACTATATGTTTTTATATCTAAGTTATATATTTATGTTGCTCGCTACATTTACACATACACTTAAGTATATAGTGAAGAGTTAACGTAGTGAAAAGCATCGACTAGGATATGCAGAGTATTTGCTACTTGTAGTTTGTGCAGCTACGCAATGTGGCATGAACGAAATTACACATCGCTAGCTGTCAGATGGAGGACACCAATCGACAGCGGAATGGGAGCAGAACAAAAAATATGTATAAACTGAAATTTGTATGACCAGAGGCGGCGCTGCGCCAACAATTTCGCTGCATGCTATAATAATGAAGTAAGGAAGAAATTCATTACAATGTAATTGAGCAGCGAAGCGGAGCCAGCGCTGCCGAGGGGTTTTGGGTGCGCGCCACTCGGGTGATGACTAGCAAACTGGCGGATTTGTATATGGCACAGCATTGGACGCTGCTGTTCCCCTGCCGGCGACAGTAGCGCTAACAAACCAAAGACATTTGAGCGAAGGCTCCGCTGTGCGAGTGAAGGTCGTTGAAAAGCGGCGGAGAAGACTACTTAGTTAAGCAACATGGGTGGGTACCAGCTGCCTGAGAGGGGTGTTTTCTGCCGTTAATTTCTGCTTTGCTTCCGCAGCTCTCTATGCTCCAGCGAAGTTGGTGCTAACTGCCGTTTTGTTGCGATGCTGTAGCTGCCACACAGTTGCTTTTTCAATTCATATTCATTCACTTGGAAATCAACGGAAGGTTCCTAATTCATAATCGACAGCAGTAGCGGTGGCACAGTGTATTAATTAGGGACAACAAGGTGGAGCTGAACTTAAGTTTTTTCATTGAGTTTAGCTTTTCTACAAAAAAATATTTGGAAAACGTTATGCTCCCCAAGAGTTTTTAAAAAGCAAGTGGAAACACCGCAAAACTTTTCGAAGTATTGTCCATTGGTAGTCATGACTTTTTCCCATATTTCTGTCAAAGCACTACAGTAAAACTGTTCATCTGTAGATGCTATTCAAGAATCAGGCCTTTGTACGATGGCGTCTTGTGAGTGGAACTGCTTCTAAGCCAGCCCAAGTGCCACCCATCAGAACAATATCTAGAGAATAAGGCAGGTAGTATTGGATTTCCCGTTTTCAGTTAGATTTTAACGGGTTGGCAACGTGATTGCAAGCTTTGTCATGCAGTAGAATCACTTTTTCGTGCCTCTTCTGTTATTGAGCTTATAAGGGACCCAAGTTCTTTGTTTGAGTATCATGCGCAGCGCATGTGGTCGCTTTGAAAGCTTGCCTGGTGATGGCCAAAGCTCCCAAAAGCTTCGTCAACTTTTTAGAGTTAATGATGTGTTTCAACCACCGGCTTCTTTGCCTGAAAAAAGAAAATGAACACTTCCAAATGATGATCCTTTGGCAAAAGATCGGACATATTCACACAACCAGAACTATGTGACTCATAAAGAAATTCAATTATGTGTCTTTCTCAAATGTCTAGGTTAAGTCTATCAGGTTTCGGATACATCAAAATCAATCACCAAAAAAGCTTCTAGTTCGAGGTAAAAGGGAACTTAGTATTAGTGTAGAGGTCTTAACAGGGCATAACAGGGGTCTCAATCGGGTTACCCACTATATGAAGAATGGGCTTAATAACAACTTAAGTGCGGCCGCTTGCGGTCTAGCTCTCCTTTGTCTTCCATTTCAACCAACCAATCAACCAGAGAGGATTATTATCATATTTTAATATTTCCATCCAAGAAATTGTAGTTTTCTGTTCAAAATTAGCATTTCATCAGAATCCTATTATACTTAAAAGTTAAGAACGCTTAGCAAACGAAATTTCCGAAAAATTTCTGACTTGGGTTTCTGTGACGTTTGGTTTTCGCAGAGTTTCCATTTTGTGCCACAAAACCCAGGATACTCTCTATCTGTTTCCAACCATGTTGACAACCTTGGAAGCTCTATCTAACATCATCAATTCTCAATAAAAATGTTACACAAATATCTCTCACGCCTTTCGGCAGAATTGAAAATTTATTCAAATAAACCAAATTAAAGCATAATTAATCTCAAATGACAATTAGTTTACATAGTAGTTTTATTACTAATTTAAATCATTTCAAGATATGTAATCAACTTCAAGTAGCGGGTTTCAATTAGAAAACTCTCGAAATGATAATAATTATATATTGCTCATTACGAGTGGAAGAGCATGATAAAAGCTACAAGTTAGGTCAATTATCACGTGTAATTTTTAATCACCCTCTTAAAGCTGTAGACAATTGTCTACTGGAGATAAAACTCAGAAATTTCTCTCCTTTCAGTGATATTTCTCCCTATAACAGCAAGTCGTTTCTGGAGTATAACTGTTATGTTGAATTGATATTCTCTTAACTATTGACGTTCTGTTACACAACGTTTTTGTGAAGATAGATGGTAAGATAGTTCGTAGGCCCACCGATTTTCATCAATCATCATTTCAAGATGATAGACTGTTGTGAATTTAATATCGTCTCCTTCACTTGAAGTACGTATATTTTCGAAAAATCCTGCCATAAGTTCTGTTAATGCTATAAAAATCAAACTATATACATTTTTTAATAAAACAATTTTTTTTTTATATTAAATGAGTAATTTACCAAATTTTCCACAAAAGTTTTCGAACTGATTAAGAGTTCCTATGACTATTTTGCCCTTTCATACAAAATAAGCACATTTAAGGAACAAGCGATATCAGATCACTATAGCAAATAACTTTTATACAAACCCATCATTGAACATAAAGTAGAGATTTTTATATAGCCTTCTATAATGCTTATACATGCTATAAGAAATGCACCTGTAAAGGGCTTGTAGTTGCTTTTTGCGGCGAATAATGAAGACCTCATACAGATAATACTATCAGAAACGACTATTTTACCAAATACTTAAAGTGTTAATAACGGCTATTTGGGAAGTTAGAAGCATTATTGATTCCTAAGCTCTTATTAGCAAAGGTAAGAAATGAGAATTAATTACACTATCATTGTCCCCCGAAAGCAAACAATAGCAGCTATAGCTAATCTATACTCAATTGAAGTGATCGAGTCGAGCGCCTAATCGCTCATTACTTAGCACTCACATTCATTGTATATTTTGACAAAAAAGTGCCCGGAAGTCTAAATAAAACACAAAATATTTAATTATTCATTTAAAATATTTAATTAATTATTTAGGTCGCTTTGAGGGAAACGTCTCAATACGGCCAACTAGAACTCCTTGTTGACCGACCCTTCGGAACAAATTCATTATGCACCAAACCACCAAAATGGAAAAAATCAATGAGCATCACCTAGATTTTTGAGCGGCTTAGCATTTCTTTTTTTTTTTTTTTTTTTGTATTCCGGGTCGTTTTTTTCACCGCATTTCGGATAAGTGTTGACGTGTTTGCATGTCACACTCATGTCTCAGTTGCTGTTTCAATGCTCGCCATGAATGTGGGATCGAAATTCGCATCAATTGATGATGTCCAACGAAAACTGTTTAGCTTTATCGGGACGCGTCTAATAAGAACGCGTTTCATACCCATATTATCCACCAAAATCATTCGAGAAAACTCGCGAGAAATAGCAAAGGCTCTCTTGCCATCTTTCTGACACTTACCTAACGATTTTCAAACACCACATCATTCACTTTTTAATATTTTCATCACTTGAAGAGTTTAAGTGTCCAGAACGAAGCATGTTCAACGACGTCTCGACCGTTATTGCTGAAAACCATTCGTGGTTCGCACACGAGATTTATTTACAAATACAAAATTTGAGACCAACTCTTTGTTCGACATTTTTATTCATTGCAAAAATCGCAAAGTACTAATGGGATGCACTTAACCAGCTGCTGTGAACAAACTGATTGACAGATCGCTCTTAATTTTGACAAATTAGAATTTCCGGGAGCATTTTTGTCGCAATGTGTGGGAAATGAGAAGTATTTTCTTTAATGAAAGGGCTTTATCATCGCTGCCCTGTTATAGCTGAATTTCAAGTGTGCATATGCCATCGTCTATAAAAGCGCAACGTTTGACGAAGCAAATTTTAGTTTAGTGAACTGCACAGAACATTCTGGTTTGGATGATTTCAAAAGCTTAAGTGAACGTGTACTAGTAACCGGCATTTCATAGCACAATTGTGCAAGTCTTCACACGTTCTATATACTTACGCAGGGCCATGTTGTTAAGATAAGTAGCCCATATTTGAAATAAATATAAATGAAATTTGGCCTCATAATAAATATGCCATAACTATATTATATCTTACAGTCTTGGAAGCGCCTTTCATTTATTCTCTCATAAGTTGTTGTTTTGTCGGTGCTCAAGTAAGTTCTACGAGTAATGAAGAATTCGCCCTAAAACGGTTCCTTCTCTGAGCTTATTGCTATATGAAGTGTATTTGAAAACTGCATTTGACATGAACTTTCGCCTAGGCTTGTGTAGTGATTTGGAGTTTGACTGACAAATGCACTGTAATTTTATTTCTCATACTGTTCCTCAAATAATTGATCGAATGTTTGTGATGTGCTTATTCAAGGATAAAGCAAAAAAATAAAACCAAAATCATATCAAAATATTTTAAATCATAAAAGGGGAGGTTAACGTTTTCAAACACCAAAACATATTTCATTCAAAAAGTAAAAAGTTGAAAAATTAAACTTTCAGCAGTGAGACTCCATTGAGTCAAGCTTCTTAAGAGGTTTTGATCTAAAATATGAATATGATTGGATGCGTCATTCGTCCTAGAATCCTGTAACATTTTTCGACCCTATTCCAATTCATACAATTTCATAACATGAAAGAACCGCCACCAAATTTAAAGGTTGGCCTTTTGTGCCTCAACGATAGTGGTTCACCTTGCCACACCCACTGCCTCTCATCTGACATCATCACCAATTCATCATTTTCTAGAGGCGAGACTATTAAACTGTATAGCAACCAGCCAGTGTAATACATCATATAATTTTCCTTGGATACTGAAAAATGTGGTGTTGAATTAACATCTTCAAGCAGCGCAATAATGACAACTAAGCCAACATTATTTGTGGCTCTTGGTAAAACATATTCGGACTTTGAATATATCCTGGGAGAATACCGCTGGACCTCGAAAACTATCAAGCCCTGCCATATGTTCCGTTATAAATTATAGAACTCAAATTATGCAGCACGCACAGTTTTTGAGTCAAAGATTTTTAGAGACTCTTCAAATTTCTACGAAATATTGAACAATCCATCTACTCTAACCCCTACCACTAACTTATAGACGATCAATTATCTACAGCTATGAAGTCAGGAACATTACGTTTAAGCCACTGAACTTTAGTTTTTGTCTTGTATGCTGGAGCAAATCCTTGCTAGTAGATTCATATCCTTCTCTCCATCTAAGAGAGTATTGCTTAACTACTTTACCACGCCCTCTAAAACATCCTCCTTGTACACTTTTACCCCTGTCTTAATCCCTTCACAGCTAGATGGGAACCGCGTTGAACCCTGGCTATAACATTTGTTGGGCCTTTGGGGTTTTTGTGTCGATTTCTTGGTTTCGTTTACTAAAGGTTTATCCAACAGTGGAAATGTTTTCACCTGTAGGAAAACTGATTGCAGTCAAAAACGCTCATTTGTCGGAACAAGCGATATCGGGCCAATATAGCACTTAGCTTTCATGCAAACTGATCAATCAGAATCCAAACAGAGATCTTTCTATTCTTTGGTCAACAAATATTTAATATTACCGTTACTTTCTGGGGCATAAAGTGGAGACGTAATTCTGATAATATTATCAAAAACGACTACCTTATCTCTTTGGGTAATTAAAAGGCGAATAATGTCCGGTCTGTCTAGACCCTTGTCAGTTAATGTTAGAAAAGAGAATGAATTTACTGAACCTAAAGGTCTGAAGCCGTTAGAATAAGTATGCCCATGCGGGGTTCACTCGAATAGTCGAAGGTGTCAATATAACGGCAAAAATTAAAGCATTTGTGATTATCAAATAAATAAACTAATGCAAATAGTAAAAAAAGTGTGTTATAACTTTGGCAAATATTGATAAATAAAAAAAGGTGCACTAACTGAACCCCCGCAAAGCAAACGATGGCAATTATAGCCAATCTATACTCAACTGAAGTGATCGAGTCGAGCACTCATTCGCTCATTAATTAGCACTCACGCTCAATCTATAAGAAATGAGAAGTATTTCCTTTAATGAAAGGGCCCTGTTATCACTGCCCTTTTACCGCTGAATTTCGAGTGTGAATTTGCTCGTCTATAAAAGCGCAACATTTCACTAAGCAAATTTTAATTTAGTGAATGCACAGAACATTGTGGTTTGGGTGATATATTTAGAGTTAAAAGCTGTTACAAATAAGAAGAATTACAAAAAGTTTATTTTCGATAAACAAAAGAAACTATAAAAATGATTATCAAAAACCCGAACAATATAGTTGTGCCCGATTATTTGAACGAGAACTTCTTCGTGGCCGCGCTCGAGGAAGGTTTGCGTGCAATCCAGGTGACAGTTAGTGAAATAACTTTCGAATGGGCCACAGACCCCGGTGATAATTACTGCTCACGCATCTATCGTGTCGTGGTCGCCTATGGGCGTCTAGTTGAAGCTGATGAGCCGCCAGTACAAGAACAACGGTCGTTAATTGTCAAATCTATACCGGTTTCGAAAGACACCCGTTTCCTTGAAGATATAGGTGTTTTTCTTAAGGAAAAAATGACCTATTTGGATTTATTGCCACGGCTGCAAGTACTTGTGCCGTGTCCGAAATTCGGTGCCACGTTAGTATACCCAATAAAATTGTGGAACATTTCTCATAATTTTTTTTTTTTTTTTTTTTTGTATAACAATTTAATGTTTTAAAATGATTTTTCGGGTATTATCATTTATGATTTCTTCTATTCTGCCCAGCTGCTATTATGCAACCAAATCACCCATTAACACCCTTGTTTTTACTGACTTGAAAAATGAAGGTTTTAGGGTTGCGCCACGACAGGACCAACTCGATTGGGCACATTGCGAACTGATCTTGCAACAAACGGCACGGCTGCATGCCACTTCAATGATTTTAGCCCAGCGTGTAAGTATATTGAAGAGAAATAAGTAAGAATTTTTTTACCATATTACGGGAGTTATTTAGACAATGTAGTGAAGATATACTTGTGCAACAAAAACAATTTAAATGCTCTAAAATAGTGTGGTTTTCAAGAATAATGTGAATTTAAACTCATGTATGCATGTGTCATTTGGTATATGCTCAAAAACGATATGAAATCGTACCAGTTTTTTCAATTTAGTGCAAATCATTTTTCAAAATCGTGACAAATCATATGGATATACATATATCATCTATCATCTATAGGATCCCGACACCACCAAGCGCTTAGTTGATGGTATGCTGTGCGAGAAATCTGTAATGAAGTCTGATTGTTTTAAACATGTTTTCGGCATTATATTGAAGCACCTAGCCAACAATGCAGCCAAGTGGCCCGGTTTTGAAAAGATCGCACAAAAATTGCACCATTTCCATGATAATTTCAATATCATATGCGCACGCTTAGCAGATCATCGTGAAGGCGATCGTTTCGTTGTGATGAATCATGGTGATCTCACGGTATCAAATATCATGTACGCCTATGATGATCCCAAGCAACCCAAGAAACCAACGCGCGCTATTTTTGTAAGTTCCACTTTAATCTATAACTTTATCATTTCATTTCAATAGCTCATTCTTGTTTTATGAACTTTCAGGTGGATTTCCAAGTTAGTTTCTGTGGCAGCCCTGGCTGCGATCTAAACTTCTTTCTCAACACCAGTGTTCAACTGGATTTGCTGAAGGAACGACGCGAAGATCTCATAAATGTGTATTATAGAACATTCAAGGAGACATTGGAATACCTGCATTACGAAAATATACCCACTTTAGATGATCTAAAGTACGAATTGCGTGCTCGTGAATTGTATGGTCTTTTCGCTTTGTTCGGTTTTCTGCCCTTAATTACTATGCCGAATGAGCTATCCGGAGATAACAGTATTGAAACTATGATAAATGGGGAGAACGTCCGCCTAAAGTACCAAAAACTATTTGCACAAGATAATGTACAAGCCCTGCTAAAGTATGGACTCAAGCGCTTAGAGAGTATGGGTGTGTTGGACGAGTTTTAGTTACCTTTGATATTGGGTACAACTACTTTATGGGTGTTGGGTACATGTAAATATATAGTATATTTATATTAATATAGGTTATATGAAATTGTAGTGAAAAAATGTTATGTTATGGCTAAAATAATACACTTCTCGTGTGCTTATTTCCTTAAATGTTCTACTTAATGCACACGGTTTGTCCCGAAAGTAATATAACCGATTTTCTTTCTCCGCGATTGTACTTCGGAGCCTGTGCGAATCGACTGGATTCGGTAGAGGACGTTTCTAGCTAACGAACGAGCGACTGGTCAGTTGTGTTTGAGCACCTGGAGAGTCAGGACAAATATTTACGCGCGACGTATTTCTGTGATTGGTGCAAGCCGAAAATGCAGCTTCGTTAGAGCAACTTTACGAATCCTGTGTGAAACTCGGTAAATCTGCGAGAGAGTCATTTGATATGAGCAAGCAAGCTTACCCAGATGTTGCTTTAGCCAGAAGTGGTGTATTTCGGTGGCAGCAGACCTTTTTGGAGGGCCGGGACGAGGTCACTGATGAATGAGCAAATCCAAAGTGAAAACGATTCTTATTGTCTTTTTTGACATCAAAGGCATCGTGCACCATAAATTTGTTAGTGCTGAACAAAACGTCAAAGCCAAGTTTTACGTGGAAGTCCTTAAGAGACTAAAACGAAGGGTCAGTCGTGTCTGACAAGACATTGCAGATGACAACAGCTACCTAACTAAAACCGGCATCCAAACGCTTCCGCTGCCACTGTAAAGCCCAGATGTGGCCCCCCCAGACTTTTTTGTTTCCTTGCTTGAAAAGGCCGATGAAAGTCAAGCTTTTTGAGACGACACAGCCGATCCAAGCAGTATGTCCCTCGGCTCTCAATGCTATTCTTGAGCATGCCTTCCGAGACCTGTTCACTGCTTTGGAAATCGCGTTGGCAGCGCTGCATTGACGCTGAAGGTGCCTATTTTGAAAGTTTTTAAATAATTCTAACGATTGGCTCAATAATTTTTTTGAATCGACACAGTCCTATACCTTCCGGACGAACCCTGCGTAGGCATGAATTCGATATCCATAGAAGTGATTGTAATTGAATTTTCGCATATGCTAAAAAAGATGAAATTTAATTTCTTTGAACTTTTTGGAAATGAACTTTTGTTATTAAAAATTTTCTAAAAGGAAAAGGTCATCCTAGCAAAAAGGATCACCGTAGTAGCACCACAAGCAATTGTCCATTAACAAATTGACTACTAACTGACTTTTGTTATTGCGCTGTTGCAAGTGATTTAGTCTGCAAAGTTTTTTTGTCATTAGTGCTTTATCACACAGTAACACACACACACACAAGCACACATCCGTACGCATGCCGAGCAGGACCGGCAATAATTTGCTTATTGTGCGCAGCGTCGAGAGCAGCCAAGTCTTCGCAACACTGCAGCGATTCATTGTGTGGCACATCACGCCACTGCGTAGCAAATTCAAGCGCACACATTTTCCAACAGATTTCAAGTTCGCCAATACAATACTTCCGCTTGTTAGTAGTTACATGTGCATATACACATATCGGCTGGTGTTATTCATATTCGCAGAATTCTTCTGGCCTCCACCACTGTGCTGCATGCTGCTGGCATTGCATTAGCCGCGCCAACTCCGACACTATCATCATCATCTCCATCAGCAGCAACCCGCTGCCACTTGGTTCGTATTGCCAGCTGCTGCTGCTGGCCGCTGCCTGCTACCACTGCGTTGCGTCGTCTGGCTTTGGCTTTGCCGTTGCCATCGCCATTACCGACTCATATAAATCATTCATCGAGTGGACCCCCAATTATTTGTCAATTTATGTCTCCTTCAAGGGCAGCAGACTATAAATAATTGTACTACCGGTGCTGGGCTTGCAGTTATTTTATTGCTATTGTTGTTGGCATTGTAATGTTGTCGTTATTGTTGTACTGGCTGAGATATCAGCGTTGTTAGAATACTACGAGTACAAGTATTGTTGCCACAGTTGTGTTGCGCTGTCGGGCTCTTCCTGTTGCTGCTTCAGCTTCCCTGAACATGCGCTAAACACAGTATACACATGCATACATACATATATACTTTTGTATGTGTTTGAATGTACATAATTACAAGCATATATTTACGAGCTTTTACTCTACGACACAGTTGGCTTGCAAATGCTATGATTATTAGGCTCGTGCATGCGATGCTACGGACTTAGTAATGGATACATACAATAGTGCATAAATACATTCTCATGCCAGTCCAAGTATTTTATATGTACATATGTGTATTAAATGGCTGTATCAGCATACTCGTACCCAGTGTTTTCCTTAGAATGCATCCTATGGTCAGAATCGATACTTCCTGACATGGAGCTGAATTTGCAAATGTGGGCGTGCTAAGAGATCTATTGCTTATATCTCACTTTGTGTATTCCAGCTTATTGCCATGTGCATATGTAGTTACTTTAGTTTATATTAGAGTACAGTTAAAAGCTAAGGGAATCTTACACCACATTTTGAATTTAAATCAATGACGTATTTAGACTTGAACTTCAACTACAAGTTGAAAGAAGCAATATATGTAAACGAGAACAATTTGGCATATTTTTTATTCCTGGAACTCGGTACTCGAACGAAGTACGTCAATCGTAACTGGCTTGTGAGCATATATCATATACTTGACTTAGCCCCATAGAAAATGCTCTAACTGCGGCAAATCATCTAATTCGGGCCAAAAATATTAGGTTCTGATTGAGCGGTAGCGTTTCTCATTTACAGTGACGTGCCGGCCTTGATCATCACGGAAGAAGTACGGACCAAGGACGCCGCCGGCCCATAAACTGCGCCAAACCGTAATTTTTTCGCGATGCAATGATGACTTATGGAGTACATGTGACTGCTGACTGACCTATAAGGCATATTTTGCTTATTGACGAAGCCGTTCAACCAGAAATGAGCATCATCGCCGAAAACCCGGAACAACAAAGTCTTAAGAGTCGAAAGTCGAAGACCGCGAATAATCGATTCGGCGCCGTTCACAGCAACTCATGCGGACGTATGAAACGATTTGGCGCAGTTTTGGGCCGTTTGATTTGCTACCACGATCGTATGATATCACACCGTTGGATTTTTCCTGTGAGGATATGTAAAGTCAAAAGTTTTCAACTTAGGCCTTGTAGCAAAACATCTCGCTTGTCAGTCTACGATTAGGAGTTGCAATGCTCGAACGAGTAATAAAAAATTACACTTCAAGGGATGTTCATCTAAGCCATAGCCGCGGACACTATTTGAAACAGATAATATTAAAAAACAAAAAAAAAAAAAAAAAAAAAAAAAAAAAAAAAAAAAAAAAAAAAACATGTTTCGAATGATAATAAACATTCCCCATTAAATTCGAAGTATCTATGTTTTTTCTTTAAAAATGTAGGGAAACTCCAAATGGAACACCCTATATAATAATTCATCTATTTATTTTTTTCTTATAAAATTTTTAGTGAACCATTATATAAAAAAATATTTTTTTAAAGCAGCTTCCGTTGCGCAAAAATTATTGCGGTAGGGGTCTTTGCAAACTACATATGAGGTAAGGTCAGTAACGATTTCCTTAAGAAAAAGTCACTGAACAGCTTACATTTCACAGCAAATTAAGGTCCAGTCTGCATTATCTTATATGCCTATAATATAAGCTGAATTGATATAGTCCACGAAATCAGATAATATAACGGTTTTACAACAAACTGCACCTTACACTAAAACTCTCGACGGAAACAAACCAAGTGCGCCTAAATGAAATCTTCCAGGCAAATAAATGAAATTGTTGTGTTCCTCGCTTTGGCCAAAAAAGTCAACAGAAATTAATAAGTCAGTCAGTCAGGCGCTGACCCACACAATAACCCAAAGAAATGAATGAATGTGGGCAAAAATTTCTGTACTGTTTATATAGTATACTCACGAGTATAGCGACGATCCAGTTAGAAGAAGAGGAAGCAGAAGCAGAAGCAGAATACCGTGAAATGCCAACGCTTTGACAGTTGAAGTGGAATTTTGTTGGTTTCTTTGAAAGAGGTGCTTAACGTAATATGACATGAGAATATTACACAGCTGTCAGCGACACCGCTGCACATACACACACACACACACACAAACATACTTGTAGGTATGTATTTATCAGCATTTTTGTATATAGACTGTGTAATTTTGTGTGCTAACGCCTGACCATTTCGGAGAAAATGTGTTTATTAATAAAGATAAAAGAGAAGGAGGAAGAGGAGGCGTTGAAAGCTCAGTTATATAGCTGGCAAATGCTGGCAAATATCACGACGAGTCGACTAAATGGAGAGGGTTGGGGCAAGAAATTTGATAGCAAGTGTTGCTTGGTAGCTTTCACTATTTGTTTGCCAAGCGACAGGCGCTCTGACGCCTAAAAAGCTGTTACAAGCAACAGGCTGCAGAGCTGGCTACGCGTTGATTGTGGCGCTGACATAGAACAGATTCTACAAGTAATCGATATCAGCGTCCGCACCCAAAATCAAACAGCCACTCGACCGAGACTCTATTTATTGGACTAAACGAAAGTGGTCACTCGACAGCCCGGCTGCGGAGGCGAAAAGCGGCAACACAGAGCAAAAGGAAAACCGCAAATTATACGGCGTTTTGTGTCGATTGTTGACTTTGGCGCTTATGTAATCAATCGAAATTGTTATTTTGTTATTTCAAAGGGAAAATACGAGTATGTACACACTTTGGCTGCGGAAATTGTAGCGGATGCAATTTTTGCGATTGTCAACCGGACGAAAGGTAAACAAATCACGATTTTGTTTTTGAATAAATAATGGTCGATCAAACAAATGCAAATGAATTGGTAAACACTGCTATTTTTTTACCCTTTAATTGTGTGCGTAATAACAATAATTTATTAGATAAAATTGCGACAAATTTTTTTCTCTATTGAAAATTAGTAACAAAAATTTAATTACAATGACAGGGCAATATTATTTTAAATATATATTATGGTTCAAGTGATGGACTAAAAATGTGAATACCTTTAAGTAAAGTTGATAAGTGCTTGAAAATGACAGACAACCTTCAGTAAATTGAACAATTTACTATGCTTGATTAGACCACTGGGGAATCTCGAAGTGTATTTAGTAAACCAAAACTCAA